TAACAGTCAAATAATTTATAAGTCGATCTTATTTTACATGCCAAATTATTGTGTTTCCATTAAATAATGATCTGCAAGTCAAATTTTATCTAATGTAAGTCAAAGTTTACCTAATGTAAGTTGAAAAAAAATTTTCAATGCCATTTTTGATTCGACTTAGGCAAGTTCAAAGTCTGTATATGTGGTGAAATATCAGTATTTTACTCATTACTTTCTCAAATACAGTATCTGGGATGGCATGAGCCAAATATTAGTAGCTCTAAGCCTACAAAGGTAGTCACTGAATACAGTGTAGATAATTGCCTTGACTAACAACACAAAGGGATTAATAAAAAAACAAACATGACAACCACAGCCCTCATGTCTACTGCTTCTACTAATAAATAATTGCAAAATAATAATAAAAATAATTAAAAAAATATTTGCAATTCATATCTTGTACAAGCAATTGCCAAAATGTCCAAAATTAAAATCGAGGACCTTTCCGCTAAGCCACACCCCTTGGATATTGTTGCCAAGGTCCCACAAGACAACAGTGTGTGAGATGCGCGCATATTCCTAGTTCTGTTCTAATTAGTCAGTTGTTAAGTTTGATTGATATCAGGCAAAAAAAAAAATTTTTGTGTTGACCACGCCCGACCAACCCAAATTTGACAAAACTAAGAGTCGGCCTTTTAGTGTTTTTTTTTTTTTTTTGACAACAAACAATATTTTTGTTATAAGCAAATAAGGCTGGAATAGCCTTGGCAAGAGGCTAGCGGATCCATGGCTTAGCCTATTTTGCTGGTTGGTTCGCGATAAAATCCAAAATTGTTGTATTGTTTGTGTATTTCTACTTTTTAGTTCTCCTACCGACCTACCCATTTTTTTGGGAGGATTTTCCCAAAACGTGGCCAAAAATAATTTTTTTTTGGACCTTATTGGAAGTCCTATTAACTGTAGCTGTGTCCACACTAACAAATTTGTGCGATGTGCTCATAGATAGTATAGTATAATATTTATTGTTATCCATTCAAAACCACAATCGCTGTACAATTCATAAATACAAAAAATCGTTTCAAAACCTAAAAGTAGAACAAAAAAATAAGAAAAACATTGATAAAACGAAAAAACAGATAACAAAGGATAACCCTTTAAGCTGGTAGGCCTGTTTCAGTGGGGTTCCCCAACAAAATCAACAGATAATAAATGATATAATTAAGCATTAAACAAAAAATGTAAGAATATAAATGTACAAAATTTTAAATTTTACAAAAAATACTGAAAATAGAAAAATAAATTTTATTACATATTTTAATTATGATTATAAAAAATTATAAAAAGAGAAATATTGTTTCAAATAATAACAATTCAAATAAAAAGATAAAATATTTAAAAATATTTGAATTTTGTGATGAAAGTTGCCTACACCAAAGTAAACAAACCTATAAAATATGAACAAAAAATAAAGCAAATTCGAAAAAAGAATAGTAGCATAATTAAACAAAAACAATACCTGAGGATCTAATTCTTCTAATGGGACAGCTACCTCTGCCAATACCTGTACAGAAGAATCTGCATGTATAGTCACTGAACCGCTGCTTACTATATAAGGGAAAAAAACAGAGTAATATATTTCATATGCTTTTTTAGTCATAAATAATGCCACCAAAATTTCGTATTTATAAGTAAAATCACCACAAGGCACTTTATAAAGCAAGTAATAGACTTTAATCGTGATCGCGGACTCATTGAGCCCGATCGTATAGCAAACATGTTTCGAGAAAACGATTCTCATCATCAGTGCGAAAGATGACAAATTTTGCCAAAGCTTATATGGCTTTATACACATTTTATGTAAATAAGCAAATTAGAAAAACGACTAATGAAGCAAACCACAAAACGTAGCCAACCACCCGTCACTGCGGATTATGTAAATTAGTACATAAGAATCAAACAGCGAGCGTGATATTCAAGTTGTAAATTTGCTTATTAAGGGATGGATTGTTCCAGGTAATATGTAAAGCTTCCTTAATTTTGAGTTTATAAGCTGAATCTGCAGAGTCAAGAACGGTGAAACATCTCTCATTAGCAAGATCCCGACAGCGTTCTGAAGCCTGCAAATGTTGAAAAATATGAGAATTCCTGTCCCTGAAGTGTTCTTGCACTCGTGTTGAAAGTCTTCTATTGGTTTCTCCAATATACGTGGAATTACATCCCACACAAGTAAATTTGTATACAACATGAGCACGGAACACTTCGGGAACGGGGTCCTTCACTCCTAGTGAATTAGAAATTTTGAACGATTTAAAAGCTAGCTTAATTGCAATTCCATGACAATATTTACTAGTAATTTTGTTAATTCTGCTTTGCGTATTACGTGCAAACTGTAAATATTGCAATTTAAAATAGCAAACATTAACATTAACATTATTATTGTCTTTAGGGGTCTCTTTAGAACCAGAACAAAGGACGTGAGCATCACTTTAATATCTATTAATTTTGTCATCAATAAGGTTATTAGGGAAACCATTTTTACATAAGATGGTTCTAAGAACTTTAATATCATTATGAAAACCTAGTCAATTATTTAACTTATATACTCTATCAATTAATGTGCGAATAAGGCCGTTTTTGTAAGATGACGCTGTAAAGCTCAGAAAATTTGTGAGGAGTCCCGTGAAAGTAGGTTTCCTATACACCAATGTTTTCAGAAATGACCCACCATTATCTAGCAAAACGTCTGAAAAAGGTAGTCGTTGATTAATTTCATTTTCCATTGTGAACTTAATGTTAGAGTGCTGTCTGTTAATATAATCAAAAAAATTTTTAGCATGATCATTTGAGTTTAGTATACAGAAAATATCATCAACATAACGACGGTAGAACGTACCCGGTGTGTGGGTGAAGTTAGTTAGCCAAGTTTGTTCATGGTGACCCATAAATAAATTCGCCAAAACAGGTGCCAAAGGCGAGCCCATTGAAACCCCACCAATTTGATCATAAATTTCATTGTTGAGAATAAAATTAGTTTTTGCAGTGGCAAATAGGAACAATTCACATACAGTAGAACCTCGAATTTACATACGGTACGGGACCAGAGGGCGTACGTAAATCGGGGGATTCGTAAAATAGAGGTTGGGTTAAATTTGTGGTAACCTTTGACCTAATACGTACGTAACGCTCAATAAACGTATGCACGAACGAATGATGTTACCTAGGCTAGACCTAGCCTCTAGGCCTACGAATAAAACCATGTGTTTAGTGTTTTTATTCATCACTTTACGATGTCATAATAAAGTGTTCAAATAAAACCATGTGTCTAGTGTATTAATTCATCACTTTATATCTTTTATTTAACTAAAATAAGGAACATGAAAATATTGTAAGATTACCTACGACAAAGGTATAACTTGGGAATTCCCCTTCATGCCTATTTTAAACAACAGAGCTGTGTTGTCTGGACCTGTTGAGACAAACTAAAACCATGTGCGCTGTACTGTACTGGGCGAGCCAACCAATTAGCGTTCGTGTACGTGAAACAGCAACCACGTGCTATGCACTGGGCGAGCCAAACAATTAGCGTTCGTGTACGAAACTGTCTACCTAGCTTCGTGTAGAAAACTCGACCAGACGAGTTCTTCCATGGTTTGCCACACGAAGCTAAGGAAGAAAGCAATTATTTTGAGCACCATCGGTAGTTGTTCATCTCACTCAGTTCACGTGGTTTTAGATTATAACAACACGGTATTAGACTCAATCAACGTTGCTGTTTAATGAAAATACGTTGCATTATGGTTTGTTTATTGTTATAATTTATTGTTATAGTCTTTTTACTTATGGTTGCTCTCAAAAGGGCCGTTTGTTTTGAATATTTTCGGGGTTTTTGATGACGTCATCGTCCATACGAGGCGAACGTAAAACCGAGGGTTCGTATAACTGGGGTACGTAAAAACGAGGTTCTACTGTAAATCATTTTAAGTTAATTTCATGTTATAATTTTCATCTTCAGTGATATAATTGACAGCAATCTCAATGCATTCAATAAGTGGGATATTGGTGAATAAGCTGGAAACATCAAAAGACACCATGCATTTGTGTTTGTTATCAAACACATTTTTTAGTGTTCAATAAAGTCAGCCGACACCATTTTACATTTCTATCATTTATTATAGTATTAATTATTAACAAATCTACGAGGACATAATCTTGGAACCAATAGTACAGCAAGTTGATGGATTGGATTTATTCAGTGTAAACACCAAGGATAACAGGACTTATTCCAGTGGGAGGGGTCATTCTGGTGTAATTTGGCAGTAGTGTACACCTGAGAGACAAATGTAGTTTGGAATGGGTGCCATATGAATTTGAGATATACTGTATTTATCAAAATTTATTCCTATTGCCACTAACCAGGATTTTGTAAAGCGCTACTGCCAATTTAGAATAGAATAGAACCCCGATATTCAACCCCCGGCCCGATAAAGATTTTGATCCAGCCTGTAAAACGTTGCTTAAAGTTAAAGTAAATCATTTTCCAGTCGATTTTTACAAAAAGGTTTTCTGTTTAGAGCACATAGGCACCCCTACTCTAACAATGTTTACAAGAGTGTGGCTTTTTCTGAGTGTAGCTCACTGTATCGAGTGGCGTAGGGTACTGGCATGGGGAGGGGTAGACTAATGGGAACAATGTATTAAGTGGGACACTGATATGATGCGATGTAATAATAATAATAATAATAATATTTACAAAGCGCACATATCCACTGCAGTAGTGCTCAAGGCGCTACAGGAAGGAACCAAAAATTACCATGTCTAACTATTTGCGGCACCAGCAGGCTCGAGGTATGCTATTCTGTTGAAAACACTGCTTTGAAAACTTACTTTTGAGTTTGAAAGTGAAATTTCCAAAAAGGTAGAGGTATCTACAGTATGTTAAAAATGTGCTCACCCCAGTACCAACCACTGGTGAGTGGATATTTTTGTGGTAGGAAAATTTCTAGTGGCTTGGTAGGAAAATCTAGAGTGCAGGTTTTTTTTTTAAATTTTTTCTGCGTTTTTTTTTCTTTTTTTAAATTGTTTTTTTTTTTCAAAAGAAAGAAAAGAGAATAAAAGAAACTAAATTCAAATTAGTCTGAGAGTGACATTTCCGACCATCTAGAGGTACCATAATCATAAATTTTCTTGCCTCACCCCAAACCATGGTGTGGGGCTGAGGTGGTATTTTCCCCTATTTGTTCCCTAGCCGCTTCTACTTCCAATTCACCGCTATAAAAAAAAATTAAAGTACAAGTTTTATGTCGGCCCGTCGCTGGTCTCAACAAATCGGAACTGGCCCCCTAGCTTAAAAAGTTTGAATACCAGGGGAATAGAACATTTATATAGCGCTAGTGTGCCACTGGTCCCCCGGCACATGGAATACACATCTACAGTATAGTACACATCTATAGTGAGTCGAATGGCTGAGCGGTTAGCAGGGGTGCCGCAAGCTATAGCCGTAATATTGGCGCTGGTTCGAACGGCACGCTTGCCTATGGTTCTAGTGGTAGAACAAGTCTTCTCGGATAAAGGAATATAAACCATAGGCCCAGTGTATACAATGGCTTGTGTGCACTATAAAAAAACCCAGTACATTCTTCGAGACGAGTAGGACGATATCCCGGTGTACTGGAACAGACAGCCCCTGTGGTGGACGATGAGAGTTGCTGATAGCACAGACACGAAGGGACCCTTAGGGGCGAAGAAAGTCATTGATCGAGTTCCTAGTCCACATATCAAGCGCCCTGAGCACCTTACATTAGATGGATATGTGCGCTATATAAAACTACACTATTATTATTATTATTATTATTACATTACCTTTGTAACAAAAGTCAGACAGATTCGCCACAGTAATGAAATCACACAAGAGAAACACAAAGAGACTAGTAGCTCAGACAATGGCATGATAATGATTTTGTATTAAATTCAACATTAAGGATTAGAAGCAGCGGATGCGGAGATGACCGATGTTGCCAATTGATGAAAAAGCCTACATATCTCATTATATCAGTTGACTGCAAAGGACTTTGTAACAGCCCCAGTGGCGGATCCAGGAATTTGAAATAGAGGAGGCACAGAAAGGTACTTCCACAAATAGAGGGTCTAAACCACCTCATCCCCACGATGGTTGGGCCAAGTAAAGAAAATTTATGATTTTTGCAGGCCTGTAGTATGACTTAATTTGTGGGAGGTTCGTTTCAGTGGAAAGTGGACCATTTGGAAACCATTAAATAACAATAACGCAATATTGTTACCTAGGAAAGCTTAAGAAATGCCGTCTTGAAATACTTCTGGCTTGTATGATCTCCGATACTCTGGAGAACATTGTAAATACATCTACGAATATCAATTTTTCGTTTTTAAATGTGGACCTTCTCCAGTTTTTGGGCGGTTCGACGTAACCCCTTAACCCACCACCCCCCACGCTACGGGCCTGTTTTTGGCACCTCTAGATGACTGAAATTAAATTATAATTTTACTTTTTTTTTATCAATTAATTTGATAAATTCTGAAAAGTTTAGGGGTTGGGTAGGGAGGGGGGCACTGAGCCCTGAGATGTAATTTTTCATAACATGTTCTTCTGCTCTACTTACCAAAGAATTTTGTAATGTCCCCATTTTCTTCATGGACTGACAGAAGACCTGGTTTTAGCACTGCAAGTGCTGGGACATGCTGCGCTAATATGCCAAAGCTGCCTGTAGTAGAGGGAACATCAATTTGTTTCACATTTGCTGCCTTATAGAAAATCTGCATAAAAAACGTAAGAACAAATTTCAATCATAGTATAAATCTTGATGAATGCCATCTGTTTTTAAAATATTCACCATCCTTTAATTTACAAATAAATATGCCTATGGTGCATAGGCTTATCATATTCATCAGTACCAGTGAGAATTTTAAGTTTGTTTAAACTTAAAATTACACTTATTTCTTGTATGTTAATATTATGCCTCCCTGGCTTTGGCTTCCACTTGTGGAATTGACATAATAATGTTGTTTGCCTTTCCCAGTCTTTTCATTAGTTTAAAGTCAATACACATATTTATTATATTATCATTATTGATATTAGTATAGCCTAGGATTATTTAATGGTCAAGCCATGAATCAAATTGACTGAAAACATAAATTGCAACCAAACTTTGTGGCCAAAGAGGTCCAGCACCATCTTGATTTGGAGGTCATACTATTATTAACCTCAAATTCATTAATCATAACCCCATAACATTAATTGCCAATGTTAATAAAATAATATACTGTATATACCATAAAACCTCAAATTGATGCCCTGGGCTTCCTCTTTTTTATATTTGTTAACTTTGAATCAGGCTACTTTTCGAGGCTACTTTTGCAGAGTAAAGAGCTTCTTTTCAAAATTAATGCTGTACATTTTCTGAATTTGTACTACTGTACAGTATAAAACAATATATAAGGCCACTGTATTAAACATCAATAAGTATCATGGAGTATACATAACTGGCATTAAATCACCTAAACTACTGTATAAACCAAGCATGTTTTGAATCTATTTTCTTTTTTGAAATTCATATTTACAGTGTACAGTATGTACTGTACTATCTCGAAAAGAAGCATGTTATCTTTCGAGGCTAATTTTCTTTTCGAGACTAATTTTGCAAGCTAAAGAGGAGGCTTCAATTTGCGACATTAAGCCCACTGGGCTTCAATTCAAGGTTTTACGGTAGGTATTAATTATACATTTAGTAACTAGGCCTAGTTAGGCCAGGCTAGCCTAACTACTGTAGCTAAACTACAGTACTAGCTCCCTGGCTTAGTAGGCTAGGCCTAATAAATAGGTACTGTAGCTAGGAGCAGATCCATGTGAGGGTGCTTGTCAAAATCACGAACAGGAAAGTGTTACCATATCGGGACAAAAATTGGGGTCGCATGGGGCCTTTTCCTGGCCTCTGATTGGGTATTACAAAAAAAGCAAACACTCGGACGATATTCTCTGATAATTTACGATTTGGAAGATGGGATTCCCACCTTCAAAAAACTTAGTGGTGATATGTTTAGAATGTTCAAAATTTAATTAACTTTTTGTAATACATGTGTTATCTTTGTATGTAATCTATTAACACTCTGCATCCCAAGTTCATGAATATGGTCACACATTCAAGATAGGCCAATGCGCACAAAACTGCTGATGTCTATTACTGTGCTGTTGATAGACTAGTCACAGGGGCTGGAGAATCCAGAATTTTTCAAACGGTGGGGTGGGGGCACAACAGTTTCAAAATAGTGAAGTGAGTAGCACATAACATTATGCATTGACATTTTTAAAATTTAGTTTCAAGACGAGGGGGCACATGCTTCTCCGTGCCCCCTAACATGTCACTGGATCCTCCCCTGTGTCACACTGTTTTACACCAATGATTTGTGAACCTTCTGATACCATATACATAATTATAATTTAAACTTCTATGGTGAATAAAAATTACATTTACAGTTGCTCCCATTTACAAATATAGGCGTAAATCTACAAATACTGTTACAACACTATACCGTAATTCAACTAACTGGAGACAAAAACCGTGAATTCTACCTGCAAAATTCTATAGTTTTAAAATATAGGGCCTAAGTGCTTTCTAGCGGCCATCTTTTAGTCGGATTTGCCAAGACTGTAATTTAAACATGGAATAATTATCAAAAAGTACCAAAACATTTCAGAACTTTAGTGCATAGAGCATTTTTTGCATATAAAACAAATACAAAAATAGGGCGACCATAAATTCGCCCTTGTTGTAGTTTGCACTAAATGCATCTGCTCGAACTGGCATACGCTTGAACTGACATCTGCTTGAATTGACTGGCATCCGGCCTAGCCTAGGCCCTATCTCTGTAAGTAGGTACGTGACTATCACCCGTTGCGAGCGCGATATCGTGGCAGCGCTATCATTTTTGCCAGCGACTCGACTGTTGCAACAGCCTTCTATTGTTTTTGCTACAGAGGTCGTATTTATTTTTTCCCAGTGACCTGAAAATAGTGATGACGTAGTTCACATATTCCTCTTTCACCAAGTCATCAAATCAGTTTTTTCTGACTTCGGGAAGTGAAAGAATTTATTGCCGAAACTTTGAGTTGTCAAAAACATTCAATTTTTTTTTAAAGAAGTTGAGTATATTTTGTTCTGAAACCAGTTTATTGTGTTAATAGTTTATATATTTATCTACAACTGGGTGTAAAATTTAGATAATCTGAACACCAAAACCTAGTTTTTGACTAAAAATAAAAAGTGTGTTGTGAATGGAAATTGCCAAAATCTGTTCGTGCAGTCCAGCGTTAGCGGTCATGCATGTCTGGTCTTGCCTGATCGCACATGACAACATGTTTTTATATACACACAGTCGCGTTAGAGCATTTTGTGTACGATTTTCAAGAACAAGGTCACATACTTCTTCATTGTTTACATAGTGTAGTGACGACCCCCGTACGTTCGTATCCCCGATCTACGCAGGAGGACATGACCTCAAGGTCAGCTCATCTGCATAACCCACAGCCGGGTGTGCTGCACAGCCGACCAGGGGTACCTGGTGAGATTACTCACTCGTACACTGGACTTCATGCAAGACGCATCATTAACCCTATCACAGGATTGTTTATCTGGTGTCCGAGTCTACACAGGAGTATAATTGCCTGCGCTGTGGGTACTACTGTGTGTTCGTTTATATATTGGAGTATTATTATCGCCTCGAAGCAAGATATCCCATTGGATAAGGTAAGAAGCTTCACTCGGTACCTTTTATATCACAGTATATAGGCCTATATATAGGCGATAAATACTACAATAGGATTTGAAGGACCAAAATTAGGCACAGGCCTAATTAATAGGTCTGTAATAATAATTAATAATGATATTTGACAGATAAATGATGATCTTGTTGGTACCAATTTAATTCTGTAATAATACTCTTTCAAATGATACCAGCTCCAACTCCAGCTCTATTGAATTAATGTGAAACTATATTTACGCCATAATACATAATACGCCAGTCAGAAGGCATCTTTATCCTAGCTCTAGGCTAGCCTAGGCTAAGCCAAACTAGGCCTAGGCCTAGCTATTACTTTAAAGGTCCTGGGCAGAGCCGAGCTAGGCCCTAGCTAGGGCCGGCCTACCCGCACACAACCGGTTGGATACCTTGTAGAACAAAAAACATACCTTTGAAGGGCAACCAAATGTAAATGCCATTTGTCCTGCAGGTATTGCGGCAGCAGCCTCCTCAGCATACCCCCTTACTATTTTATTATGAGGAGAGTTAATGCATGGTCTAAGAAGCCGGCTACAATTCCGAAGGAACGACATTTTTCACGCTTGCTGCAAAACCTTCTGAAAAAAATGGCGGCGTGATAGTGAAGTGCGCCCTCAATACAGCAGATCAGATAATACTGTCGCGCTACCCTAGTAACATTTTTTTTTCGTAAAATCTTCGCAATTTGATTCTTCCATTTGGTTGGGGTTGATAGGTGCGGAAATTTTAAGAATAATGGACAGTGGCGTATCTAGCTAGAAGTCTTGAAATGGGGGTGCTGAATTTAATTCGCAAAATAAGATGATTTTTTAGGTGATTTTTAACTATTGACCATGATTTTTTTTTTGGGTGGGGGGAGGGGGAGTAATTTTGGAGGGGCGTGCTCCCACCCCTCTTCCCACTAGATACGCCACTGTGTATGAATAAATGACTGATATAGCCTACATTCTGAATGAATCTTCCATTACAGTATTAGAAAGGCTTCAACTACTAACAGGGGCTCTGTAATCTGCAATCTCCACTGGTGGTTTGCCTTAGTGAAAAAAAAAAAAATATGCATCAGGCTGAAATGTCAAAAAATATGGTGTGACATATTAATATAATAGGCCTAAACCTGTATTTGCTGTGGTAGGAGTGGCCCCAAGCCATCAAAATGAATTTTAAATCGTTAATATGCCTATGGGAGAGGGAGATTGAAATAACTACGGTAGCTATTTAAAAAAAAAAAAAAAGGCAAAATTTAGCACCGATTTCTTCTATTAGTTAAAATGGGGATAATACTAAAAATACTATTGGTGGTACAGTATGATTCATATTTATTCATTATTTATTTATTTTATTTGTCTTTGTTGATAAATTGTAACTAACTTCTTCTGTGGGGCTCAGTCTCTTTAATTTAGATCCATAGGCTCAGTGGCGTAGAAAAATATTTTTCATTGGGGGGGATGATTGGCGTGTTAGCCAGTGTCGTAACAGGCGCGGGGGGTGGGGCAGGGGGAAAACTGCCCCTCCCCTGACGGTTATTACCGTGCCGACCAAGTCGCCGTACCGGGCTGGGTAATAAGAGAAAAGAAAGAGGGGAGAGGGAGGGAAAGAGAAAAAGAGGGAAAGAAAAAGAGAAGAGAAAAATAAAGACGAATAAAAAGGAAGATATCATAATGACCAGACTCACAACACCCATGCAACCCCTTCTCCACTTCAAAAACTGTCATAACTCCTTTGATCTATGCTGCCCGATGGCGTAACCACTGGGGGACAAGGAGAAAATATCTATCTTTGAAAAATCTTCCCCACACCCCCCCCCCTTTATAAATGCCCTTTCATCCCCTGAAAGTGCCTAAAAACCTCAAATTTTGCGCGCATTTCTTATTAACATGGCCCAATTTCCTCTAAAAATTGCACATTTTAGGGAGTTTTGATCAATTCCAACGAAATTAGAATTAAAAACACAGGGGGACAAGGGGAAAATATCCATCTTTGGAAATCTTTCTCTACTTCTTGACAAATGCATCCTCAGAAAGTGCCTAAAATTCTCAAATTCTTTGCGCGCATTTCTTGATACGGTAGGACAATTTCCTCTATAAATTGCATATTTGAGATAGTTTTCATCAATTCCGACGAAATTAGAATTAAAAACACAAAAATATTTTGCGCGCTTGGCGCGCATTTTTTAAGTTTTATCCTTTTAAGTTAAAACACATAATAGTCCCAAACTCAAGAAAGACAAAATTTAAGATAGATCATTTTAACCTAAAAGAAGGGCCTTAATGTGTATAGATGGTGAAAGAATGTGTTTGTAATAAATACAACCATGCCGAAAATGCTTATATTTAGTTTCAAACACACATGTTATAAACCCTATGTCGTATTGTTTTCTATATGGGGAGTGGGGTGGGGTAGGGTGGGTATGATAAATTACTTACCCGGAAATGAGGATTGTATGTTGTTATTATTATTATTATTATTATTATTATTATTATTGTTATTGTTATTGTTATTGTTATCTGAAGCTGGAAACCTTGTTTTTGCAAAATAAATTGATGCAATTTGCTGTTATAGGCCTAATCAATAAATTCCTCATCAACCGATATAACCTTAAACATTCTTGGAATTGATATAACATTACTGATGTCGTACACACCCTTCAGTGTGAAAT